GAGTCAGGGGCGAGAGCGAGGTGGCCCCGCGGCGCAGCGGTCGATGTCCAGATCGCGAAAGGACGCGGCCAGGCAGGCCACATCGCGCCTAGGGACGCGCCGCGGTCGTCCGCGTCGGATTTGGCACGCGCGTGGACAGTGCGCGACAACTTATGCGAATCCCCCCAGGAGCGGCACGGCTGGGCGACGACGTTTCGATAAAGATCCACGTCGAGGAGCTGAGTGCGCCAGGTCGCGGATGCCTACATCCTCGAGACGAGTGCTGACGGCCGCGAGGCCGATGCGACGTGCTGGAACCAGAAGAACGAGGGCGGGGGACTCGGTCCGCAGCCAAACGACGTCACGCATGCCCAGCGGGCAGCATGGTAAAAGTTGCACCTCAGCTTGAGCCACCCACCGGCCAAGACCTCGGCGTGCGCGCCCGACGCAGTGGACAAGCTGGAATGTTTGACGCGTCGCAAGGAAAGCAGGCCCGCGACGGCACGGTCCGCCAACTTGGATTTGTCGACGGAGTTTCACGAGAACATGCCCCCCCCCACGAGGCTGTGGTTATCTTGCCAGACAACGCCAAGTGGATCTCCATCTCATCAGTGACGATACTTCGAGCATCGGGGGCGTCCCTGCGGGCGCGGTGAGTTCCATCGCTGGCGCCGAGGCGCTGAGGTGCTTCGCGCGACGCCGGCTATCCTGGGCCAGTCCACCCGGGGCGCCCTACTTCGACGCGGCGGCGGGGCAGGTCACGAAGGCGTGCGCGAAGACGGAGAACAGGCGGGACATCCGGATGATGCCCGCCCCAGTTGAGGACATTCACCTCGCGGGTCGAGACAGAGATCGGCTTCGAGGATCATTTCCAGGATGCGAGGAGCGAGCTGCAGATCAGCGAAGGACGAACCTCCATGTGAGCGGCGATCTTGGCCGACGCCTGCAACGACCACATCGGGCGCCTTCGCGCCCTGCCAGCGCGCGCTTGGACAGTGCCCCCCAGTGCCGACATCGGTCGCCGAGGCGATGGAGAGCGACGAGACGAGGCTCTCGGCGCGCAGCGCGACGCTCTTCGGGGCAGAGCTGCGCGCGGCAGCCGCCAGGTCCTTCTTCGAACTGATCAGCGACGACGCCGCGCAACGAGCGGCGCTCGGGCGAGTTCGACCGCCGCGAGGTCCGTTCCCACTTGGACAGGTCCGTCTACTGGCGGGTGGCGAGGCACATTCTGTCTAGGCGATGGCGGGGCTAGCGCGGCTGGCGGGAAACACCCATCGTCCTGACCCAATAAGGACATTCGATCACGTGCATCTGAGCGTGGCGCCCCGGCACACATCGTACCAGAGCAGTCTAGTTTCGCCGGCAGGGCGAGTCGGAGATGGTCGAGAACGAGGAGCTGGCGCAGCAGCTAGGGGCTAGGGCAGTGCAGAGGCGGCCCGCGACGCAGCGCGGCATCGCGGAAGAGCGCGGCCCGACGACGCCACCCCGAGCGCTTGCGCCGAGACACTGGCAAGCGCCGCCTATGCCAGCGACGGGGCCCATGACCACTTTTCGGCCCTCGGGGAAAAGGCCCGATCATCTGCGAGGACCCAGCGGCCGGCGCTACCAAGTCCCCCTGCTGGGGAAGCTTGGCTGGGGCCTTCCGCAACAACGCCATCCACCGCGCGCGCATCGGCGCGCCGCGACCTGGCGTGATCCCCCATGGAGGGCGCGCGCCTGGTCCGCCAGCAGTACTCGTCTAGGCAGCGGAAGCGGCTGATTTTTTTCTCCAACCAGGCTGGCCCTACAGGAGTCCTAGCTCGTCATGCGTAATTGTTTTGTTTGTCCCCCTTTTTCCATTGGCACCCCTTATTTTCAATGGCACCCCCCTCCCCCCAGCCCCCCTCTTCTGCCAATGGCACCCCCTTATTTCCACTGGCGCTCCCCCGGCTACTTCCAGTGGCGAGTCCTATGGATTCCCATGAGTCGCTTGCCCTTGCTTGCTCTTGTGTGCTCTTGCGTGCTCTTGCTTGCTTGCTTTTGCGTGCTTGCTGTCGCTTGCTTGCTCTTGAGAGCCCTTGCTTGCTTGCACTTGATCGCTGGCTCTTGCTTGTCTGTTTTTGCTTGCTTCCGCTTGCTTGCTTGCGCTTGCTTGATTTTGCTCCTCCCGTCCTCCTCGCGTCCTGCTGCCGTCTTCCTTTCGTCCTCCTCCCATCCTCCTCTCGTCCTGTCCTCATATTTGGAGTCAGCGCTGGCTGATACTGTTACAGTGTAGCTGGCCTTGCTGCGACTCACATGCGTGTTGGCTCGGATGAATCAGCCGCCTGGGGCCCCGTTGAGACAACTAGCCCTGTCCACGAGCCCCCGTGACAGCAGCGATAGCGAGACGGCGACGACGACGGCGACGTTGACGAGATCCCGCTGGGCCCCGGGCCGCGCACTCTGGCGGCGCCCAACGGGGATCCGACAAGTGTCAAGGGGTTGTAATGCGTTCCAGCGTACCCTGGCTGATCTGGATTTGACGTCCGTTTCCGCAACGCCTTCGTTGGGATCAAGAAGGCCGTCGAGCTCCTGGGGCGGCGCAGCAGCGTCCGCTGGCAAAGGCTGCTGGCGGGTGTTATCCCAGCGCCCGTGGGCTGCTTCAGCTTGAGCGCAGCGGTCGACCAGTCCGCCCTCGGCAGATGCCGCCATTCCTGGCGTGGGTGGGTGGAAAGGGGGCCGACGCCGATGGCGCCGTCGTCCCGCGCTTCTGGGCAGAGGTGCGTGAGCTGCCAGTTCTCGTCTGGCCCGTCCGCGTCTTCTGGGAGAGGTGGAACGGGATCCGCCTTCGCCCGCGCGCGCAGAACGGCCTGCGCGGGCGGGCGCTTCGGAGACAGATCCGCCTGGGCGTTCGCCGTCGGGTTTTGCGTTGGCGCCCCGATGCTCCATCAAGCGGCGCGCGTCAATGGGTTCCCTAGCGAGTCTTCTTGCAGCGGGCCCATCTGTCGCGTTGCATGGGTGCTCGAGTACACTGGTGCCGAGGGATCATAGAGCAAACAGAGGCATCTGGCGTTTCCCACGTCTTGGGTCTGGAAGCGATTGGGATTTTATCGAACCGTTGGTGGGAGCGAGGCTAAATGGTGCGCGGCAGGGTTGTTTGCCCAGCTACAGCGAGGGGCGCGATGGGAACGGCGGCGTCCACTCTGGCTCGCGTTCCTGCGATGGCTGTGCGCATGCCCCCGAATTCAGCGGCCGTGGCTTTTTTGGAGCGTTTGCGCGTGTTGCATGTAGCCCAGGAGCATGGCTGTGACTGCAGATTGTGTGGTCTTTCGGTGTCTGGCGGCGCGCCCACTTGCAGTGGCGAACTTGGCGTTGGGCCAAGCGGCGTGGCCGCGCGTGTGTTGGGCGCCGCTCGCGGCTGTGGCATCGCTGCTGCGTTGAATGAGCGCTGTGAGGGGGAGACGGTGGTTGAGCATCCACGGGTGCGTCCTCGATCGTTTGCTTCAGCGGTGTTGTTTGGGATGTGTGGTTGGCGAACACGGTGGAATAAGGTTTTCGACCAGTTGCCCCAGCAACATGTCGAGGTTCTGCATGGCGAAATTGGTTTGTGTGCGCCTACTGGAAAACCTGCCGTGGGGCTTATGCAAATGGCGAACACTTTGCCCTTGCCCTTCCAATGTGGAGTGCGGGCCCCTAGCACAGGCGAGCTGGAAAGGTATCAATTTTCTCTCCCGGATGATGCAGGTGAGGTTGCATGCGGCCAGGCACAGGTGAAGCTTGCAGCTGGGAGTCTAGAGAGTCATGATGCAAGAGCAAGGTCATGAGATGTTCGCGGGGCTGGGTGGGGTCCGAGAGCGGACTGACCCGAGGCTGGTGAGCATGCGTGTGCTGGGGCGTACCCAGTCGTTGCAAGTGGGCCCAGCTCGTCTGGCTTTCTGTTTATATCTGCGCGGCAGAAGCAGCTCGCTCGCGCGCTGCAGCAGCCGGGGCGGAACATATTATTTGTCTGGCTGCAAGAGAGAAGCACGGGGCAAAGGGCGGCCGCGGAGCGAGGAAGGCGGAGGGAGCACTCACAGCACGAAGGCTTGTCAGGCGCACGAGAGAGAGAGAGGGAAGGAGAGAGCAGCAGCATCGTCGGCCGATCGGAATGGTGAAGCAGGTAGCGGCGAGCCAAAATGTTCCTGGCTACTTGCGGCTGCGCTTCGTCAAGACTCAGCAAAGGGTTTGGCTGCTTCTGCTGCACAAGAGGACCACTTTGGTCGGTTTTTCGGGGGCAGGTGAGACGGATTTATCAGACGCTGCAGGGGCGCGTGGTGGATCGGCGGAGCTGCGGGCGTTCTGACGACGCTGGCGTTTCTCTGCCTACTTTTGCCTGCGCCTTTCATGCTTGGCAGCCTTCTGGTCCGAGTCGACAGAGGTGCGGCACCCTTTTGCCTTGCAAGATTGTGCTGCCCCTGGGGTCAGAGGCGGAAAGCAGATTGGGCACGGATGCCGCATTGGATGCCGCATTGCAGGCATCGTACCTGGCTGCGAATTAATGAATCGGGAGAAAACCGCAGGCGGCGCCCGGGGGAGCTCCAAATTGGGGTCGTGCGGTTGGGAAAACTTGACAGGCAGGCAGGCTTGGGCCAGCCCCTTGGCTGCGTGCAAGTTGGAAGCCCCCGAAGGAGGGAGGATGGAATAGGGAGGGAGGAATCGAGAAATGGGCAAGTAAGGGGACGAGGGGAGGGAGAGTAAAGGGAGGAGAAAAGCATACGTAGAGAGAGAGAGAGAGAGACAGAGAGAAACTAACACAAATAAATAAATATAGAAACCAAACAAAGAAAGAGAGAGGGGGGGGAGAGAGAGAGAGAGAGAGAGAGAGAGAGAGAGAGAGAGAGAGAAAAAAAAAACAAGGGCGAATCGATGAGGAGGAGGATGAGGATGAGGATGAGCAGGTGGAGCAGGAAGAGGAGAAGCGGGGAGGAGGAGCAGGGAAGAGGGGCCCGGGAGGGACGGCGGGAGCACGGACGGAGGGGGAGGGCGGAGCAGGGCCGGGCGGCGCGGCTCCGTCTCCGGCCCAGGCGATGCCCACCAGAGCAGCCCGCGCAGCCAGGGCGCGTGCATGTTGGAGATGCTGGAGTACGTCAAGGGCCTCGGCATCGACCCCATGTCGGAGCCCGACATGATCTGGATCGCGGAGGAGGCGTTCAACGCCCCGCTGCCGCCCGGGTGGACGAGCCACCAGGACAACCTGGGCCGGGTCTACTTCTACGACAGCTCCAGCGGCGAGTCGACGTGGCGCCACCCGATGGACAGCATCTTCCGCGAGGTGGTGTGCTATCAGAGGCGCGTCCAGCACGTTGGCGGCTTCTGGGAGGTGGAGGACGAGCTCGCGCTGCTCTGGGAGCTCACCCGGCGAGACCTGCAGTACTGGACGGAGCTCTTCGACGAGAACGGCGAGAAGTTCTTCCACAACACAAAGTCCCGCGAGAGCAGGTTCGAGGACCCCCGCGAGTCGGCGTACCACGCCCTCGACACGAGGGCGAAGGCCGTGGCCAGGATGATGAAGCGCCTCCCGGAGCTGGCGGCTGCGACGCGCCCTGCCGCCGACACGGCCCCGGGCGCCGCCCCCGTGGACCTGGCGCGCTCCGCGGACCTGGCGCGCTCCGCGGACCTGGCGCGCTCCGCGGACCCGGCCGCCGTCCCCGAGAGCTCGGAGGAGGAACGCACTTTTTCAACCGGGGCTGGGACGAGGATACAGTGGAGGCCCATGCCAAGAAGCACCCTGCTTGCCTCCAGGGTGCCCTGGGTTTCTTGGGTTCCGGTGGTCTGCGATGGAACCAGTGCGACGCCCCCGCACCAGAAATCGACGACCGCCTTGGGTCTCAGGGTTGGGTTTCTTGTGGAAGGTTTCTTGTGGACCGGCCCCCACTGTACCTTCAACCGGGGCCCGGGCGAGGATAATTCCGTTCCAGGGCGTTCCAGAACGCTCTCACAGCTCTCGCAGCGTTTTGGAACGCCCTGAGAAGGCCGTGGCGCTCGAGATATCTTCCAGAGCCGCCGGATCTCAGAGATTCTCAACTTATCGTCACCCGACTTTACCTTTGTCCTGGCTTCGTCTTATACCTGTATCGATGCTCTTCCCTCGACATCGCCTTCGTGTGCCCTCGTCGCTTCGGTTCGACTCGTTTCGGAATCGTCAGACCGAACCCCTGGGAGAGGTCCAGGGTGCAACGGCATCTGTCCGGTCGGACCGAAATACAAGATCGAATGTTCTTGTGCATCTTAGGGAGGGGTATCCTCGGTGATCTTCTGGTTTGGGGTATTTTGGCGGGCGGAGAGTCTCATACTCTTGAAGGATGTTCTTCTGTTCTTGGTCCGGCTGTATCTCTTTGCCCCCGAGGACCCTGTCCTGAGCGCTGCGATTGTGATCCAGAGCTTCTGCCGCACTGCATTGGCCAGGGACACAGCAAACCGCCTCAGAGCGGGGGGTGTCATTCACAAGGGCCCCCAGCCTCTGAGAGGGAAGCTGCGGCTCCGCGTCGAGCGCTGCGACCTCAGCGGGACTTGCGACCTCGTGCTGGGCCAGACGACTCCGCATAAGCGCCACCGCGCGGCGAGGAAGATCCAGGCTTACGTCGGGCTTGTCCCTCTACAGGAGAATATTCAAAAATAGTCAAACAACGGTCTGGGGACGATGTTTTGATTATTTTCTTGTATGTTTAGTTTCTTTTGGGGTTTTGTCTTTTTATGTTCGTGCAAAATCCGCCTGTAGGAGGACATGCCCGACCCAAATCCAGGCGCGCGTGAGGGGCATCCAGACGCGGGCCAGGCAGAGGCCCCGGATCGCACACAGGGCCTTCCTCAGCAGGAACCAGGGGTCGACCCAAAGGGTGGCTTGGCGATCTCGTGGACCGTTTTCGTTGCGACTTCGCTTTGCAGCGAGGGCGGATTGGAGACGAAACGAGGGGAAGCGACAACAGAACGAGAACGAAAGGCACTGTTTGGGTCGATCCCTGGCAGGCATATGGTCAAGATCCAGTCGGCGGCCCGCGTCTGGCTCGCGCGTCGACGGGTGGCGCGTCTTCGCCTGGCTCGCGCCACCGACCAGGCCCGGAGCGATCCGAAGGTCGTCGCCGGCCCCGTCGAGCAGCAGGCCCGGCCGAGCCAGGATGACGTCGCCAGAGCCGAGAGCAGATCCGATGAGGGCAAGGACAGGGCTCATTCCAATTCATCCCCGGCTCGATTCGACTCAAGATGCATGGCCTCCGATTCCGATCCGATTCGACCTCGGACTCCGATCTCTCCGTGGAGGCCTACTGGCCTTCTGATGCCTGCCGACTCGATCTCTCCAGGCTTGGCTGCCGATTTCCGCCGATCCGATTCGTTTCGATCGCCGATTTGGGCTGGCCCGCAAGGAGCCCACGGAGGAGCGTTGCGAGAAGAAGCGCCCCTCGCGGCCCTCGAGCGTCGGCCCTGCGGGTCGGCTGTCGCGGCCCTCGAGCGCGGCGAAGGCGCCCGGTGAGCCGATCGTGCAGGCCGAGGCCGCCGTCGGGCCCGCCGCGTCGCCCGAGGGCGAGG